CGGAAGGGTTCTTGGCCCTCGGAGACGTGGGTGGGGGCCCTGCTGGTACCCTGCCCTGTTCTGTGCGTTGATGCATGAGACTGGTGCGTGGCAGGTCGTGAAGTTGGTGCCTTAGTCGTCGCTCGAGATTGGGAGGCTGAATGTGTCTCCTCCTCATGATCGTCACTGTCGTGCGGAGGTTGATTGGAGTGATGTCGAGGGAGCTGGGCGCGGATGCGCTCATTCTCGGCACATAACGCTGCGAGGTCTGCTTCATTAGCGGTTCGCATTGCTGGGAGGTCATTCTCATGCTGGGCATGCATGTTCTGGAGGTCGGCGTCGTGCTGTTGTCGCATCTGCTCGACTTGGTCGATCAGCCGCCTCAGGATTGCAGTGTCGCTGTCCATGGTAGTTGAGTGGCTTGCGTCGTTTGTTGCTCGTCTGATGTGGCTTCTAGTAGAAACCATGCAGGTGGCCGATAAGAGTTGTCTTGATCGGCCTCACGGTGGGCGCCAAATGTTCTTACCGGAATTTGACCGTAGGGGTGATCCGTCCAGTAAGATCAGCGAGCCTCCTCTGCTTGATGTATTGGTGCTCCAAGATGGGGGAGGTACCTGCAAAAGAGACTCTGATGCCAAAGTTAGGGTTTGCATGAATAATAGTCTCATATATATAATGTACGTACCTTAGGGTGGTTTAGGTTTGCCTTGGGCCTTGGGCCTGAGATAAGATATGTTATAGTATAATATATTGCAATATGATATGATATAGTTGAAGGGCGGATCTGGTCTGGGGCGAGATCCTCGGGTTCGGGTGTGATTTGCTCAAATACCGGGCTGACGTCACGCAGCGCGTGCCCGGGGTTGTTTTGTATTGCTAATCCGGGCTCGGAACCCGGGTGCGAAGTACGGTTAGTACACAATTCAAACTTTTGTAATGAAAGTTCAAGCTTAATGAGAAAGTCAAGTTTGCACAAATTGTTTGTTAAGTATGTCCAAATTTAATTCATGTTTAACATTTTATCAAATAAGTTTACAGTGTAGGCTCGATAAGGTCATGAGTAAGGGGTTAATTAAGTTGGGTTTAAAAAGAATCGTTATTTGATGATCAAAATTTAATGAATTGAATTAGATTAGGTTTGTATATTTTTTTTAAATTCAATTCAACTCAATTCAAAAATAGATTCAATTAGATTAGATTAATCAGATCAATATAATTAAATTTATTTATTTATTATAAAAATTTCAATATTTCAAAATAAATATAAATCATTTGATATTTTTTTACACATACAATGTTATCAACCCATAAAATAAATAATGATACAAACATAATTCTTAAATAAATTTGTTGATTTATTACATTGTTATCAACTCAAAAAAATTAACATTAACATCAAATAGAATTTAAAATAAATATATTGTATTATTATAATGCTATCAATCCAAAAACATAAAACTTGTAATCGAATAAGAGTAATAAAGAATATTATCCTAAGTAAGTGATCATTCAAATATTATCATATTATTATTATTATTATTATTATTATTATTATTTATGATCAAATTAAATCATAGGTCAAAAACATAAACTCATTATCTTACTTATATAACGATAAGTTTTGATTGAGTTGGATCTGATTCAAACATTAAAAAAAATTGATCTAAACCGTGTGGATTCACATGTTACACATACATGCTTATGCTCCTAAGTGGATCATGTTAAAAGTTTAAATTTAATTGAATCTTTCAAATTGAGGCTTGAGTCCAATTAAACTTAATTCACCCTTATATAATAAACACACCAATATTTTAGGTTAAAATGTTATTAAGAGTTTGTCTTTAACGAAAGAGTATTTTTAGATATTTTTTCTTAACGAAAGAGTTTTTAAGGACTCTTCTAATCTCTTATCTAATTTAATTCTTATTTATCATTTTTTTTTTACATTTATACATTAAATTTTAATTTTTTGTTAAAATAAATTATCATAATTAAAAATAATCTTATATCACAATATAAATCATTTATCATAAATCTAAAATATAAATTATATATTTAAAAATATCATGAATTCTTTCTAAAATAATATATAATATGTTTTATCTTTTCATAACATGTATCATGAATCATTTCTAAACAAAATGTCGTTCCGTAGACATGGATCTAGCATTTGGGTCTAAAGTGACGTATATATGTGTGTGACAGAAACGAGTGAGATATAAAGAGAAGATTAATGGTTATTGTATATCATTTTTAGGGTGACCTCAATTGTTGAATAGCTTAGCTACGTTGGAAATATTGCTGCTGACTATATTTTTATCAAAGCTAATGCATCTGTCCAAATGATTTAAGCAGTCATGCTTACTTATTAAAGTGTATATAAGACGTGCATATCATTAAAAGCGTGATAATTTCACCTGCTAATGCTAGCATAAGTAGGGGTGGGTATGCGGACCGGTCCGGCCCGTTTAAGGCCTGGTCCGCGAAATCCGCATTTTTAACGGGCCGGATAAATCCGGTCCGCGAAATAAATGGACTTAAATTTTCAAGTCCGTATCCGGCCCGTGAAACCCGCGGATAAACGGATAAGTCCGCGGGCCCAATTAAATCTAAATTTTTTTAATGAATATTGACACATTTAATGAGATTTTGAATTTCTTTTTCTTTATTTAACCTATGAAAACATGAGGAAAAAAAATACATATAAAATGATATAAATATACTTCTAATAGTAACATCAAACATTATATAAATAATAAACCAAAGTCTTAAATAACAAAGTTTATACATTCTAAATTTCTAATAGAAATATTTAAGTCTCAATGCCTTTAAAATTTAAAGTCCAAGCATACCAACTATTAACCAAATATTAAAGCCTTACTACCTTAAAACTTTAAAAGTCTTAATACACAACCAAACAAATTTAAAGTTCCACATTTAAACGGGTAATCCGCGGGCTCGCGGATTAAATCCGCAAAATCCGCGGACTTAACGGGCCGGACCTAAAAAGTCCATATGATTATACGGATTAAAAAAATTGAGTCCGTTATCCGTGAAGTCCGCGGACTTACGGACCGGTCCGCGGACTCGAGTCCATATACCCACCCCTAAGCATAAGCATGATTTAGTATCTCATACAGAATTTTTATGTATGGTTAGTATAAATATAATTTTTTTAAAATTTTAATTAATTAAATTATTTTATGTATGATTTTTAGGTAATTATTGTATATTTTTTAAAGAAGGTAATTATTCTCATTTATGACTAGTTAATATTATAAAATATCTTCATGTTTATATATGCTCTGAAATTTTACCAGATCTCTTTGGTCGACCTAGTTTTGAAAGTTCATTATCAAAAAATCTAAAACTTCATACATATTAATTATCTAAATCTTTTCGTCATAAAGCAGACTTTTTAATGGTTCATTTTAAAATTACAATAAGTACATCTTAATAAAAATTAGCTTATTATTCTTATCGTGCAAAAATATTAAAGATTAAACTCTAATTTTAATTTTAATAAAAAAATAACATAAAAAATATCTTAAAAAAATGATATATAAGTTTAGGTGCTTGCTAGTGCATGATGATGCGATAATCAAGTGTATTTTTCTTTCCTTTGGGCCTAGGCCTCGATTTAGAGTTATTGTTCAGACGCTAAAAATCACTACCAACAATTCTCCTAAGTAGGAATCATAAGCAAACTTTGATAGAAAATCAAAACTGAAAAAATACTCAAAATGTAATAGCCTCCCCCACCCTCCTCACTCTTAATTTTTATATGAAACTAGTTTGTGACAAGTTCTTAATAATCACTTTGAAACTCGAAAGGCTAGTGCATGCATTTGTCAAACACTAATTAAATGATTTCCCCTCTAAGCCGTTGCATGAAACATTCATTTTCCAAATGATTACTTCTTTTTTTGCAATAATTTCCATAGTGGTTGTGGGTTAGATTTATTGGTTCACCCTTTCTCTTTGACCTTCCCCACCTTCATCATCTCTTTTTTTCCACTTCTTTAAAATTATTTTTCTAGCCATACACGGATTCAATCCATCTAAACCCTCGTGAAAGTCCTTGCCTGTGTTGACTCTCACGCATTTGATGGCTTTAATACAAAATCATTAGTACTAATTATAAATAAATAAACAAATTACGTAGGGGCAAACAATCCCTTAAGTTCTAGCTAGATTCTAGAAGCTGCCCTTGATGATGATCGCATAAAGAATTTAAAAGAAGAGTTCCATTGTCTGCTTGCTATTGAATGATCATGACATGCTAACAACAATAACGTAGAGGGGCCTTACCTACCAAATACTGGGACATATCAAATAAAACCATAAAATAATCTCAATCCACACACATACATAACATTTTTCTTTTGTTATAATAAGGCATGTGTCTCCAATGTAATCCATTGCACGAATAAAGAAAACCATTTATGTGAATAGATAATGGAAAATTGTTGGTTTGGCACTAATGGAATTATGTTACACCTCTTCATTTTCCGACCTTCTCGGTGAATGTACATCAATTGCTAAACACAAAAATAAGTGGGACGGCAAGGGATGCAAGATAGAGATTACATAATATTTGTAAGGGGGTTGGGGAGGGAAAGTTTGGTGTAACACTGAAGTCAACAGGTAGGCAAGTTACTTGACCTACAATTAATTGAAGATATATATCACCATATTATAGTTATCAAATTCAAAAAGTCACTAAATATTAAATACAACTAAATAGAAATCATTCTTACTATTCTGCAAAGGTGAAACATTAAGTTAAGTTATTTCGTTCTTAATAACTGAGATTTATGATTGAATTTAATTTTTATTATATTTTATATCTTTTCATATGAATTTGTGTTAGAAATAAAATAAATGATCTGTTATCCTACTAAAAATCTTCAAAAAGAAAAAATTGATGGTTAATTTTGATCTTACATACTTATGTCATGTCCTATAATAAACTTTTATGAACCTGAGTATGGTATAGTTCTAACATCCACATTCAAGAATTCTAGAAGTCAAGGAATCTCCCCCACATTTTTTCTTCTAAGGTAGTAGGTGAAAACATGTACTTATAAATTTCCTCGGCTTTCAATTATTTTTTTCCCAGATCAATCATTCCCATTTTTATGTCGTCTTTCTCATTTTTTAGCTTCAAAAGTAAGTAGCTTGTGAAACAAAAATACATTACAAGGTTATTGCCCTGTTGCACATATATACCAATATTTTCTAGATGAGTACGAAGAAGAATACATGGAAGTCTGTGGTCTTGATCTTAAGTTGTTACAAGGTTAAGTGCCCCTTGGAGGAATCAGAGAAACAAGTTTTGAAACAAGGTTCTTTCCAGAGGCTGTGTCTATCGGATGTAAGTAATTCAAGCTCCTCTCAGGCCATTGAAGATCTTTCAATTTCCCTGGCTGGTTCAAAACTTTTTGCATTCACACTTGAGGAGCTAAGGGAAGCAACAAATAATTTCTCATGGAGTAATATGCTAGGTGAAGGAGGGTTTGGACCTGTGTACAAGGGTTTTGTTGATGACAAACTTAGGCCTGGTTTGAAAGCTCAGACTGTAGCTGTCAAAAGGTTGGACTTGGATGGCTTGCAAGGTCACAGGGAGTGGCTGGTTAGTTAGCTTTCTCAAGTGTCCTTTTTAACTTTTCATGATTAGTCCATTTATTTGGCTGTCACGTAACAATTTAAGTTGCCAACATATTTCTTTCCTTGACAAAAATGCTACACTTAAGAATAAATATGTTAGAAGTAGTATTACATGAAAAATTGTTGTTTTGAACATCTTTTCTTTTCTAGGCAGAGATTATATTTCTTGGACAACTAAGGCATCCACATCTTGTCAAGTTAATTGGGTACTGTTATGAGGATGAACACCGGCTTTTGATGTATGAATACATGCCAAGAGGAAGCTTGGAGAATCAACTCTTCAGAAGTATTTTTCTTTTCTTCCTTATACTTTTTCCCCTCCTCTTTTTAATCTTTCCTCAAAAGCACATGAAGTTCCTAGGATCATTTATTGTTGTGTTTTTTGTTATATCATTAGTAACTCACTCAAAGTCAAACATGATTACAAGATCTAGCTCAATAATGATAATCAAATGATTTAGAATGTTAGATGTTCTCTTCTATATGGTCAAACACATCTCTTTGTTTCAAATCTGCATTTTTTTCTTTGGATACTAATGACAAATTGACAATTCCCTCGTACTAATACAAAAACAAAAATGGATTCTTACCACAAACCAAGCCTTAATAACAGCTTCTTTTGTTCTATAATACAAACAGGATACTCTGCTGCCATGCCATGGTCAACTAGGATGAAAATTGCATTGGGAGCTGCCAAGGGTCTTGCTTTCCTTCATGAAGCAGATAAGCCTGTGATATACCGGGATTTCAAAGCTTCAAACATTTTACTAGACTCAGTACGTTCTCTGATATCTTTTCAAGCATCATATTACATGTCTTGATTGCACCATCTTCCTAGTGGTCAAATCAAGAAATTAACTTCGGCCCTTTAATTTTTATCTCTTCCAAATCTAGGATTTCACCGCTAAACTCTCAGATTTTGGGCTAGCTAAGGATGGCCCTGAAGGGGAAGACACACATGTAACAACACGCATAATGGGAACACAAGGTTATGCTGCTCCTGAGTACATCATGACAGGTATATGAACTACCATACAAAATGTTAATCAAGTCTCTAGCATGAATTGACACCTAAAAAGTAAAGGGGAAAAGGAGACTATTTCATTCCTTACTCCTAAAAGCTTGTTAAAGCCTCAGTAAGAACCTATGCAAATTGAACTTGAGCCTTTCATATTACTATAAATTAAACTTCTCTTTATTTTGTTACTGAAAATATGTTTGAATACAAGTCTAGAAGGATTTTTAAGAATTTTTTTACTAAAAAATACTCTTTATTTTCAATATAAAAACCTTGAAAAATCCTTTTAAACCGTATCTAAATAGAAAGACTCTAAATCACTCTATTAAGTGCATGTTTGGAAACTCATCAAAAAGCAATGAATCATGTCAATTTAGTCCAAAATCATGAAAGTTGTAACTATTAGCTTCTGGTCAAACATTGAAAATCACATCGCCAACATACAACCAAACACGCTATAACTTCTGATTTCCAAAATGACAGAAAGATAAACTTGATGAAGCTAACTAACTACTCATTGCTTTGTTATAGGTCACCTCACAACCAAAAGTGATGTGTATAGCTATGGAGTGGTGCTGTTGGAATTGCTGACAGGAAGAAGGGTAGTGGACAAGTCTCGGTCTAACGGAGGGAAGAGTTTGGTGGAATGGGCAAGGCCTTTGTTGAGAGATCAGAAGAAGGTGCATAGCATCATAGACCGTAGACTAGAAGGGCTATTTCCCATGAAAGGAGCCATGAAAGTTGCTATGTTAGCTTTTAAGTGCTTGAGTCATCACCCAAATCCAAGGCCAACTATGAGTGATGTGGTGAAGGTGTTAGAGCCACTTCAAGATTTTGATGATGTTTTCATTGGACCATTTGTGTATGTTGCCGTAAGTGAAAATGGTGACAAAGATAAAATATAGCAGCAACACTCCTCAGCAAGAATGTAGATAAAATATACATATCAGATAGCAAAAGGTAAAAGAAAAAGAAAAAAAATGTTGTTACTTCAAAATGGACGGCATCATGACTTGGTCTTCACAATCATGAAACGGATGCAAGTAGTTCTATCACTTCTGAGTTCTGACCGGGGGAAAAAGTATAGAGCTGCAGCAAAATATGAACCCAAGTTGTTAGAAGTTGTAACTAAGTTTTATATGGTTTGATGATATACAAAAAATATGCACAAACGTTTGAAACTCTAGTTCAGAATTTACAAACTCAAATTTATTCACATATGTTTTATTTGACAAATTTATTGTTGATTGTGTTTAGACATGATCACGGATTTCAAGTTATAGTTTAGCAAAAATGAAAAGAACATGATACATTAAATCAGTAAACTGTAATATACACTTGTTAATGTAAATATTATTGCTATGATTCATAGAGCTAATATGTCATTGCTATCCGGGTCGAAAGGATATGGTCATCGTAACGAGTGTTTTCGAATGATCAAGGTTATGTCTGAAGAAATTGTTCCATTGTTTGGTTTGTAAATATAGGATTTGAACACAACGGAAGGAGATGGATCATGATCTTATTTCATTGTTTGGTTTGAAAAAATGGGAGTTGAACACAACGAAAGAAGAGAGATCATGATCTATTCTATTAACAGTGCAAATATAGAAGAAGAGAGAATGAGAAGAAGTTTAAGGAGAGAAACTGAGCATTGTTCTATGATTGCAAAGTCTAAGAGTACAACTCAATAAAAAAAAATATAAAGGTAATAAAAAGCAATATAAAGAGGCAACAAATAAAAATACTAGAATACTCTTAAGTAGAGTACATTGTATTAAAAGGTAAAATTGTTACTATTTAACATCCCCTCGCAATGATGAACCGAAAACATCGAGAATTTGCTAGGCAAGAAGCAAAAGTGGTGAATAAAATGCAACTTGGTAAACCAATAAAGAATTTGCTTGAAAGATGATATCAATGGTAAACTAATGGTCCCTTGAAGAAGGAGATGTCTAGTGAAGTGACAGTGAAACTCAATTTACTTAGTATGTTCATGAAAGACTAAGTTATGAGAAATATGAATTGCACTTGTGAAACTAAAATAAACACAATAAAGAAGTTGAATTGTGTCTATTAAAAATTTCAACAACTTTACAAAACTAGTAAAGGGATAAGTCAAGGTAAAAAGTCGAAAAAATAGAATACAATTCAACTTAAATAGTCTTTGAGTTATCTCTTTAAATATTTATCAAAGTATTTTTTTTAACACAAATATTTATTTTTAATAATTTTACATTTAATGTAAAAGGAAAAATATAAAAATAAAAATAATATTGGGCCAAATAAGCCTATTACTTTTCAAGTTTAAATTTTTTGTAGTTCAACAATCTCCATTAAATTCGACCAAATTGGTCTAATCTTTTTCGAGGCCAACAACAATGAGTTCAAGTTGGCTTAGCCTAGCAAGCCAAAGGCCAATCCACCAAACCGGGTCAATTTAGTGATTCTATCAGTTAATAAATATCATAAACTTAAACATATTATTCAAATTCAATAACATGAGTGAGAAAACTTCAATATTTGAAAGGTTATATGCAAAGAAATGTTATTAGAGGGACATGAAGTTAAAATTCAATTGTTATTAAAAGGTTTTAAAAAATTATATTGATTTTACTTGTTTTTACTCAAACCTAATCATTTATGTTATTTATATACATACATATATATATATATATATATATATATATATATTCCATTTGAAATCCCATCCAATCCTTTCAAATTTTATAAATGCTTATTATATGAATTTATTAAAATCCATATACAAAATCTTAATTATAAAAGTCTTTAAAAATCATTACATTCCTATAATATGTTTTAAAATCTATAAGACTTTTATGTTAAAATAATCTTATGAAATCCTAATACAATACACCCCATAGGGGTATATTGAATTAAGATTTCAAAACATTGTAAAAAAAAGTTTTTATTATAAAAAGTATTGTGATATTTAGTCAACACTTATTTTTTAAAATAAAATAGTCTTGTAATATTTAATTAAGAGAATCGGGTCATTTTTAAGAATAAATCAAAATCTTATAACATTTAATTATGACTTTTTTTTCACTTAGAAAAGGTATCCTGGTATTAAAAAATAGATATTTCAATGCATGACTTTGAAGACTGAATTTCGTGGGAGTTTTTAATTAATAGATTTACATATAATTTAATCATCAGATAATCTCATCAAAACTTTGGAGATTTCATGTGAGTTTTTTTCTCTTTTCTTTTTCTTTTTCTTTTTCCTCTCTCTTTTCCCTCAATCTTCTCTGTCATCTTTCTTGGTTCTCTCTCTCAGCCTACCTCCCTCTCTCTCACTTAAAAGAGGCACACTAGTATTAAAAAATAGATATTTCAATGCATGATTTTGAAGGCTGAATTTCGTGAGAATTTTTAATAGATTTACATATAATTCAACCATCAAACAATCTCATCAAAATCTTCGAGATTTTGTGAGTTTTTTCACTTTTATTTCCCTCTTTCTTTTTCCTATCTCTCCCCTCAATCTTCTTTGCCATCTTTTTTGCTTCTCTCTCTTTCTGGCTACCTCCCTCTCTCTCTTCTATTTTCTTTCTCATCCTCTCTCTCTTTCAGATTCATCTCTCTTATTTCTCTCTTGTTCTTCTCTCTATTTTTTATCCTCTATTTTTTTTTTCTATCAATCAATATTGAGGTATAATTTAAATTATTTATTATTTATTATTACAAATAGATTGTGAAGAGTTGCTTTGCATGTGATATCAAAAAAATAAACAACATTCGTATCAAACAGACAAATTTTGGATGGAGGTGCTCGTTACAAATGAGGTTGTGGATGATACAAAAGTGTGGCAAGGAAATAATTTGTTTTAAGGCCGACTTCTAGAAGGCTCATAATTCTGTCAATTGAAAATATTTATTTTATATGATGAGTCGCATGGGTTTTAATACAAAGTGGTGTGGTTGGATAAAAGAATGTCTAGCTAAATTATACATATTGGTGAATAAGAGCTTGTAGATGAGTTTAGTATAGGAAGAGGACTTTGACAAGCTTATCCTTTATGTCCATTTTTATTTCTCATAGTAGCGGAGGGGATAAATTATATGTTCCAACAAGCGACTGAGAAAAAATGGTATTACTGGGTATAATGTGGGAATAGATGGGCTAAATATATTTTTTGTTACAATTGCAGATGATACCCTTGTGATAGAGGAAAAGTCATGGAGGGATTAAGGGTGTGATTTTTTAAAAAATCTAAACTGAATTGAATCGAACCGTTTTATAAAAGTGGATTGATTCATCCATTTTTTTATAAAGTATATCAGTTTGGTTTTTTTTAAATATGGACTGATTTTTTGAAATTAGATTGGTTCAGTATAGTGCAATTATTCATTTTTACTCATATATGGATCGATTTAAAAAAAAAAAACCGAACCGAACCAATTCACTTTATAAAATGGATCGGATAACTGAATTGGTTTTATAAAGTGGATTTGATCAATTTTTTTAAAAAATAAATCAGATTTTTCAATGCAGATCAAATCGATTCAAATCAATTTGGATTAATTGCACGCCCCTAGGAGGGATGCATAATTAATAAAATCATTTCAACAGTTGTTTAAATCAACATCAATTTTCACAAGAGTTAGAGTTAGGTTGCAATAAATGTGGAGGAGGTGTGGTTGTATGTGGCAAAGAATTGTTTGAACTCTATTTGTGTTGTCATCTCTTTTGATCGAGTTCTTTTCCTTCTTTCGAGCATCATCAGGTATAATTAATTTCTAAACTTGAATATCTCTTTAAAAGGTTTTTATGGGGAGGTCGTGGGGGAGAGAAATACGTTGGGCGGATTGGGAGAAGGTGTGTGAGGAGAGGGAGAACGTAGGTTTGGTTATTAGAGACCTTAATTCATTTCTAATTTTGGACGACAAATATAGAACAAATGTGTTTTTTTTATGATAAACTTTTTATTATGTGTGTGGCTAGTTTGCTCATCAAAGTAATTTTTTTTGTTTCTAAGACTTTATGCATTGTTAAGTGTGTTTTGGTTTAGGGATTGCTTATACTGTGTTTTAGGTATCAAGAGTTGATTTAAGAGCCAAAACGGTAGAATAACATTCGTTTGTAAGTTATGATTGTACAATACTTAACTTGGACACCTTGCGGTTAAATTAAGTCTTTCTATTATTAATGATTATAATAATGATTTTTCTTTATTGATAAAAATAAGACTCAAATTAAAATGTATAAAATTTGTCGAACAAAGCTACTAAATTGTAGTGAGTGAAAATGAGATAATTATTTGTCAATGATTTAAAAATAATCAATATCTTTATTCTTGATTTCATGTTCAGGTCAAAAATTAAATTTTAATTTTTCATTAAGAAATAGAAGTATCGAATCAAGTCTTTTAACAACTTTTGATTTTTATATTTATAACACCCTCAGTATTTTATATTTGATAAAATGTCTTTTAATTAATTATTGGATTTTGGAAATAATTTAAAAGTTCACAAAAGGAAATAAGAGTAATACAAATTGTTGTTATTTGTAAATGGTTTTAATAAAAGGTGAGAGAAAGATTTAGTAACTGAAGTTAAAAATGTTAATAGGGAAAGTTAATGTTGGATTAACGGTTATTTTGAGAAGGGACATACTATCTAGATGTTAAACAGTGTTGTTAGATACATAGTTTAAATAATATATTAATTTGATTAAATTATAGCTTAATATTTATACCGTATGGTGGCCGACTTGCCCGAATACCCGAGACCGTTGCTTATGCTGAGTACCCGAACCCGCCGACCACCCCCAGATGGGGCGAAACGTGTCGACGGAGTCGGCCGAGTATATGTCGGCATCATCAAGATGGTTACGGAGAGATTAATTAACATAATGCAGAAGATTAGACCCCAAATTTTCCGGGGCCCAGTCCCTAATTGCGGCCCAATAAGAACTATTATAAATAGGACCCCAACGAGGTATGTAATTAATTCTGAACTACCGCATTTATTACGCCGAGCACTAACTTGAGCGTCGGAGTGTCTTTGCAGGCACACCCACCCCTGACTTCGGACTACCCGGATAGGAACGAGAAGACCGAGACCCATGATCAGACCGGCTACAACAAGGATAATTAGAGTTTGTATCCTAACACAGGAACATTTGGCGCCCACCGTGGGGTGTTGTGATCGATCTTGTCTTTTGGTCGAACGTGATCGGAGACGTCGGTCTCTCGATGGACGAGTTTCACGTGAGTGGTGGTCTCTTTC